AGGGACACTTCGACAAGGGACATGGAGCAGCCGGGGCTCGAACCAGCGCACCCGCTCTACCCTGCGCCACGTTGACCCCGTCGACCCCGTCGACCCGTCGATACAATATTCCTATATTGACTTAATATTTTTCTTTTCTTTACTTTTGGTTTGATACTACAAATTTCAGAATGCGGTTTATCATAAAAGCTCACACGTGCGTGTGTGTATGTGAGTCTGTGCACGTGTGTGTGTATTTGAGTGCGTGTGCATGCGTGTGTGCGTGTGTGTGTGTGTCCTGTTTGAGCAGCTGGGTAAAAAGGGAACCAGTCAGCAATAAATCCTCCCAGTTTAGAGCTGCCAGCTGCTGGGAGGATTTTTCTCTCCACCAGCACCCCGACGTCCGTCCGCTCTCAGTTATTTTATTTTGAAGCTGTTGCATGTTTCATTTAACTCACAAATGTGTTTGGCGACGCTCCACGTCTCAACAGGCGGAGGCCTCGTCTCTTTATTCCCACTGAGTGAATCTCTGCTGGTTCCCATTAACGTCTGTTCCAGACTCTGACCGCTCTTTGGTTTCACTCTGCAGATCCGCTTTTATTACGTCTCAGTGCAACGATGAATTGTGTTCAATCTGTTCTGACTGAATTATTAGAGGCTCCGTCTATTAAAAAAAGAGTTGTTTTGTTGTGCTGTTGGTTTCTATTAAAGACAAATATCATTAATTAAAAAACAAAGACATCTCAGTGATTTCCTAAAACGTTTCTGTAGCTTTTAACCGAACAAACAGGAGGAACGAGAGCGTTTGTTGGAGGACTATTTTAAGCGGCGGATGAATCCATGTTTGCTGCTTCAGTGAGTGTTTGCAGCAGCAGGACGTGTCAGTGACACACACACACACACACACACACACACACACACACTCACACACACACACAGTCTATTAAGGACAGCTTGAGATCAAAAGAACCCTAAAAGGATGAACTTCATCGTCCCTCAGAGTCAGAAGATGCTTGTTTGTTCCCGGCTCAGCTGCTGCCGTCGACCCCTCGGCCCGGAGTTCAACCGACAACTGCTGCTGGTCCCCCCCCCCACACACACACACACATATATAAGAGCGCTGTGGTATTTCCATTCTTCTCTCAGGAGTCAGGATGGCGGAGTAAGTAAGAGGAGACTCGGTGTGAAATCTCACCGAATAACTCCTTCATTCTCATTTTTCCTTTTCTTCCTTCGTGTTTCTCTGCAGGAAAAAGATGTCGTCGGGCCGCAGGAGTCAGCTCAAGGTAGAGAGCACACGCACAAACGTTCAGCGCGGACGAACACAACCTCCCGATCTTCTCACATTGTTTGATGTCATTCGTTTGTCGGGCCGAGGTGATTTCAGCTTTAAGATGAACAACAAGTAGCTGCAGTATGAAGTAGGACTGTGAGACACAAACACATCATTTATACTTCGGCTTATTTCATCGCTCCATAAAAGCTTTGAACGTTTCTTAAACAATAAGAATCGATTCTACTGAACGACGGTCAATTATTATGTTGAAATATAGAAACCATCTTCTAGTCTTTTATGTTTGGGGTCAACGAACGTTTCCTCCTCCTCTCCTCTCCTCCTTCTCCTATAACTCCTCTTCTTCCTCCTCCTCCTCCTCCTCCTCCTAGACCTTGCTGCTGCAGATTGGTGTGTCAATGCTGGAGGAGGAGGCGCAGGAGGCGCAGCAGCAGAAGAAGAAGCACATGGAGGAGAACTGCCCCAGCCTCTTCCTCCCAGGATGCATGCAGGAGCTCCAGGTGGGAATGAACAGACTCCTCCGTCACCCGACGGAGGCCGGAGACAAACAGTATTTGTTTACCGTCGCAAGCAGCTGCTCTTTGTCGTCATGCACTCCGGCAAATAACTCGTCACGAGTTAATTAAACGGCTTTAAAAAATCATGGAGAGGATTTTCACCTGATTGAATTGGTTTCTCTCCCTTAAACAATGACGTTACATTTTATTGGTTTGGGTTGATTTAGTTTTGTAGAGTTGAATCGATATGAATGGTTTAATCATTTTCAACTAGATTTAGTTAAGTTAGCTGAACTTAATTTAATAGAGTTCACATTAAATACATTTATTGATTCGCATTAACTCAACTCAATACATTTGAGTTGGCCGAATAACTTCTTAGTGCTAAAAGAAAGTCACACCATCAAATGGAAATCCTTTCCATGATTTTATTACATTAAGTCAAAGAATAAATATGAAGTGCAAAAAGTGACAATAACCCAAATAAAGAAACCTTGTATTCCTTGTATTCTGCTCCTCCTTCTGACGTAGAGTTAGTCAAATGACGTTTGGAGAACATTTTAGTGCAATTGGGTAAAAAAAAGAAATGTTTATGGACATTTACCCAATTAAGTTAGATTTCTCTCTTTCTTCATTGATCAGGATTTGTGCCGTAAGCTTCACAAGCAGATCGACCTGGTGGACGAGGAGCGATACGACGTGGAGGCCAAGGTGACCAAGAGCAACAAGGAGGTGCGTAGATCTCTACATGAAACGTCATCACTACGTCAAGAGGAGCATTTATTGACACGTAATCGATGCTCCATCAGATCGAGGACCTGAAGATGAAGGTGCAGGACCTGAAGGGGAAGTTTAAGAAGCCGGTCCTGAAGCGGGTTCGGATGTCGGCGGACGCCATGCTGGCCGCCCTGCTGGGCTCCAAACACAAAGTGTCCATGGACCTGAGGGCCAACCTGAAGCAGGTCAAGAAGGAGGTGAAAGAGGAGGTGGGTGCTTTCAGCTTTCGCGTTAAAATGACCACATTAGCATTGGATTAGATTTGGAATCCCTGAACTCAAACATTGGAACGCAAAAACAACTTTATTGGTGATTCAATTCTTTCTGTTGCTTGTGTTTCTTTGCAGGAGAAGCCGGCAGGCGACTGGAGGAAGAGCATCGAAGACAAGGCCGGGATGGGCGGCAGGAAGAAGATGTTTGAGACCGAGGCGTAAACAGCAGCGTGTTCTTCTTCTGTTAAACAATTTCATCCACTTCTGTGTGTTTGTGTGTGTGTGTGTGCTGCTGGCAATGCGTTGAGTTGATTCAATTAATAAATCTTGTGGTGCTTTAGTTGGTCTCACAGCATTAATTTGATGAATTCTACAGTTCTACACTGGTAAATCAAGGTTACAATAAATCAAGAGAGAAGTTTTTTTCTCATAGACTTCCAGTGTGTTAAAGCTGCATTCTCTTTAGTGACCAGCAGGGGGCTCTCTGGTATTTTTTTATTATTACAAATACAATGATAATAATACTCATATAATAACTATATGATAATATTTTTTACGTTGAAAAATGATTATTTATTCCTAATAACGGGAAGGCTCCATGCAGTTACCGTCTTGTACAGTAGGTGGCAGCACGCGCCTTTGACGTTGGTTTGCAGTCCTCCGTTATTTAAAAGAAGAAGTGTCATTTAGCTTTTTCTCGGTCATGTGACAGCAGGAGAAGAGCCTGCGATACGCTGCTGAAAGTAGAGTGAACCAGATATAAACCGTCAACAACACCGGCAGGCTAGCGATTGCCTACGTTGGGAGACAAACGTCTGTTAGCGTCTCGTTCACGGAACAAGACAAGGTGCTCTTAGGTCGCGCCGCGGGCCGCTGATTCCCCCAAACCGACGGACCAAAATGACGGCGGCGGTGTTTTTCGGCTGCACCTTCATCGCCTTCGGGCCGGCCATCGCCCTGTTCCTGTTCACCATCGCACGGGAGCCGCTACGGGTCATTTTCCTCATAGCGGGGTGAGACTTTAATCTGTATTTAAATCAACAATGGTGTGAAAGTTAAAATGTGTCTTCATCACAACTATTACGTTCAGTTAGGCTTCAGAGTTAGCCGGCTAGCAAGTAATAAGGCTGCATTAGCTAGCGAGAAGGCTGCATTAGCTAGCAGAAAGCTGCATTAGCTAGCGAGAAGGCTGCATTAGCTAGCGAGAAGGCTGCATTAGCTAGCGAGAAGGCTGCATTAAGCTAGCGAGAAGGCTGCATTAAGCTAGCGAGAAGGCTGCATTAAGCTAGCGAGAAGGCTGCATTAGCTAGCAGAAAGCTGCATTAGCTAGCGAGAAGGCTGCATTAGCTAGCGAGAAGGCTGCATTAGCTAGCGAGAAGGCTGCATTAGCTAGCGAGAAGGCTGCATTAGCTAGCGAGAAGGCTGCATTAGCTAGCGAGAAGGCTGCATTAGCTAGCGAGAAGGCTGCATTAGCTAGCGAGAAGGCTGCATTAGCTAGCGAGAAGGCTGCATTAGCTAGCGAGAAGGCTGCATCAGCTAGCGAGAAGGCTGCATTAGCTAGCGAGAAGGCTGCATTAAACTAGCTAGACTAAATTGGCTTGCAAGAGGTATACATCAATTAGCAAGAATGATAACGTTACATCAGTTAGCAAGATGTACACATTTGCTAGCATGTATAAGCTAGTGATAGGGTTCCATTGAATTAACATCTGGTCTTATTGTTTGTATTCAATCTGCATTTACTGAAATTATAATTCCTTAATTATTATTTTCTGATCTGATTTCTTTAGAGTTTATGCGGTGACTGTTGTGGTTTAAACCATATTATATTAATGTGGTTGGCTTAGCATATATCGTATCAAATGCAGCATTCTCCATAATAGGTAATATAGATCTATTATATGCTATGTAATTACGTCATCTTATCACACGTTGTTGTGACAAATGGACAGCGTGGAGGAAGTCTTCGCTACAGCGCATTTATTTACACTCAAATCTTCATCCACGTTCAGTCATCTATGTAAAAAGCTCAGCAAATTATGCTTGAAATGACAGAGATTGGACTGTAATGGGAATAAAGAACCCGTTCATCGATGGTGAGGTCCTATCATTCACATCACCCCCTTTTTCTCCATGTGACTCGTTGTGTGCCCCCCCCCTCCTCAGAGCGTTTTTCTGGCTGGTGTCCCTGCTGCTGGCCTCTCTGGTTTGGTTCATCTCCGTTCAGATCAGCAACAAGGACAGCGCCGCCCAGCAGAAGGGCCTCCTCATCTTCGGCGTGGTCCTGTCCGTCCTGCTGCAGGAGACCTTCCGCTTCGCCTACTACAAGCTGCTCAAGTGAGTCCCGTTTTTGAACTCTTTCTGTGAGTCTGAGCTTTTATGCAGAGCTCCCCCCAATTCATAGCAGCCACCCAAAGAAAACCTGGTGGGAGGCGGAGGCATGAGAATAAAAAGGTGGAGAAGGAAGCTTCCTCTGTGTTTTAGTTTACACATTAAAATTGTACGAGACGTAGAAGTCAAACAATCAATTTACCGGTTTTGCTTTCAAAGAAATTTGGGATGAATAAACCAGATGTGTAAAAGGATTTTTGTGGATCATTTTAATTCCTCATCAATAATCTTTTAATTCAAAATACAAGGCAGGACCGTTTTTATTTATCGTCAGCTGGGGGAAGAAACTCCTCCATCAGGATGGTTGTGTCCATTCTACAGACTAACAGATGTTAGTGAACACCAGAGGGCGCTAGCAGCCCACGTCTAAGCGCCCCAGTAGAGGTTCTACTGATCAGTACCTGTGGACACTGTGTTGCTGTATTGGTGCGTCCTTAAAGGAGCCTTTACTATAGATGTACTCTTATACCTACTATGGACCTATTTAAAGAAAAAGAAATTATGTTAAAAATTGCAGTACATATAAACTCGCTTTTTATAACGTACTAAACTTGACAAGATATTTAAAGACTAAGAGTGATCTTAGAACTAACCGGTAGATAGATTAATAATGAAAATATCATTCCAGTCCACCTCCAAGGTTGAAATACAGATTTGTACATTTGGGTTTCATTTACTGAAGCGTAATACATTTTTTTCCCCCGCGAATATTCAGAAAAAATTAAATAATTGATCACCATGATAACAACTCGCCACGTTGGCGTGTTCTTTGTTTCCTGCAGGAAAGCCAATGAAGGCCTTCTCACCCTCAGCCAGGAGGAAACCATGCCCATCTCCATCCGCCAGCTCGCCTACGGTACCGCCCAAGTCATGCTTAGTCTACTCCGGTGCCAGTGCTGCTGGTGGTAGAAGTACTAGTAGTACTTCTGCTTTTGAAGAGTAACTTTACAATGACGCGTGTTTATCAGAATAAAGTTAAGCGTTTGTCTCCTCAGTGTCGGGCCTCGGCTTCGGCTTCATGAGCGGAGCGTTCTCGGTGGTAAACATCCTGGCGGACTCGGTGGGGCCGGGCACCATCGGGATCCACGGAGACTCTCAGCACTACTTCCTGTCCTCAGGTACTGACGTGGCCCCACGTTCAAACTAATCTAGTATTTCCCCAAACTAAAGCACTTCCTTCCTTCCTCCCTGGTCTGCAGCCTTCATGACGATGGCCATCATCCTGCTCCACATGTTCTGGGGAGTCATCTTCTTTGACGGCTGTGAGAGGCAGCGCTGGTGGGCCGTGGCTGCTGTAGTGGTCAGCCACCTTGTCGTCTCCTGTCTGGTGAGTGCTGCATTCTGTGTAGTGACCAGCAGGGGGCGACTCCTCTGCTCCCATAGACGTCTATGAGGAAATGACTCTACTTCTCTGTAGTGACCAGCAGGGGGCGACTCCTCTGCTCCCATAGACGTCTATGAGGAAATGACTCTACTTCTCTGTAGTGACCAGCAGGGGGCGACTCCTCTGCTCCCATAGACGTCTATGAGGAAATGACTCTACTTCTCTCTTGATTTATTCCCTCAGTAAACACTGTAAACATGAGTTTATGGTCTCAGTCTCTAGTTTCAAGTCTTCTTCAACACAGCGTGATGTTCATTTAGTGAAGTAATGTTCATGTAGAGTCAAACAGACCATAAAGCAGAGGATGCTTTAGGGCGGGGCTACACGCTGATGGACAGGTCTTCATCTCTCTTCCCTGATCTTCTAGCCAAGATCATTTTGCCATTTCTTACTCCTCCTCACTTTTCCATTTAGAATATTTGAGATTTTCAGTGTGACGTGAACCTTTTGATGTAGCCACAGGGCTCCACTAAACACCGCATTTGTTCCTCAGACCTTCCAGAACCCGCAGTACGTGGGCAGCCTGGTGCCCACTTACGTCATCCTGCTGGCGATGGCCGCCTGGGCCTTCCACACCGCCGGCGGCTCCCTGAGGAACCTCAAGCTCTGCCTCACCTGCAAGGACACAGACTTCCTGCTTGCCAACCACCGGCCCAGATAACGCCGCGCGGGACTCGCTCTCCTGCGCGCGCGCGCACGCACACACACACACACACACACACACACACACGTTCATTTCCCATCCATCTGCTGTTTAAAGTCAACGTGTTCAATCTTAAAGCGGCTGGAAATTCCTGGAAGTAAAACAACAAAAGAAAAGATGATTTTTGTTTCATGTCAGTAGCTCAGTTTCTTTTTCCTTCTTTCTTTTCCTGTGATGAGCTGAACCTAAAGAACTAAATCTGCTTATGTGGTTGAAGGCGTCTGCTGTTCACCTGATGCTCCAAAAAAAAGTCAAATACTGTATTTTTGACATTCTGTACATATTCCTTAAACTGACCTTCTTTTCTAGATTCACATCTTTGAATTATCTATGAACAAAAATCTTTTTGTACATATTTATGATTTTTAAAATCCCTGATGTGTAGATAGTTTTCACCTTTTCATTCACGATGTCTTCAGTCTGTTTAAATAAGTTTGATTTGAAATGAGCTGATGAATCCAGATGATGTCATCGTGATTTCCTTTGGTTGTTTTTTTTATTCCGTGCTGGAAGAGGAAAGTGCTGATTGTCAAATTCCATGTTCAAAGATCCCAATTTCGCAGATTGATGTTTTGTTGTTGTTTATTCCTCTTCATGTGCCTGGGATCCCAAAACATCTTCAACATAAAAGAGAACTGTTTTAAACTCATTCACCTGTCTTATTTACGTCAAACAGATGTTCTTTGAAAGCTTCTTTCAGATCTCTCTTCCTCCCGCGTCGTGTTTCCATTCATGACTGCAGAAGCCCGTCGGCTCACGGAGGCTTTCAGTTGGTCAGAGTCTGTTTGTTTTATTCACCCAGACGGACGCAGGAAGTGAAAAAGCGTTGACGTGCGGAGACTCCGATCAGCTGTTCAGCCAGACCAAATATTTCGGACTTAATTCAAACAATTTTAATTCTAACTTTACGCGATTTGCTCCATTATCTATAGATGGCGATGCAATGTATCACTTATTTAAAGTTCCCAGTCTTCAATCATTATTCTGGTTCATTTCCAATGAAGGTCTAATCTCCACCTGGACCCCATTCAGGTCAAAGGTCACTGACCTCATACAACAGGTGTTCAATGCCTGGTGAGATGGTGGTTTGAGGTTTGGAACCCAGAAACATGTGATCCAATTTTAACTTTCAAAGAGCCTTAAATAAACAAACCTCTTTAAGATCCGATAAACAAAAGGTGAATTTATAAATATTTATAAATGCAAACATTTCATATTCGGTGGACCAGCACACCTGCTGTCAGCTGAGCCAGATGTTCAACATCCAGTTTGTTCTCTTCACGGTTTATTGATTGAACTCATGTATTATTGCACGATGACCCCCCCCCCGAACTACAAAGGGGCTTCTGTTCCGGAGCGCGCGGGGACGCGCCTGAGGAGAAGTACTACGTCACGTGTTAATGAGCTTTAATGTCGCCTCATAAGGTCTTTGTGGATCCTCCACATCTCCCTCATGTTCCTCGGGTTCCCCATCGGTGACTCTCCTTTTACTCTCGGGCGGGTGCGCGATCACCTGTGCGCGACCCCCCGCGCGCATATTTTATGCTAATGAGCAGGTGCGCCGGGCTCTTGAGGCGCGCGCCGGGGGCCGGAGGACCCGGATGGAGCCGCGGGGGAGCAGCGCGAGGCTTTTGACCGGGTGATGCTGCGCGGACCCCAGTGAGGCTCGGATGGATCCCCGCGAGAGGCGAGGCCGCAGGAGGCCGTGTGCCGCCTGGTGCCTGGGCGCTGTCCTGCTCTACCAGGGTGAGTCCCGGCATCGAACCCGCGACCGCACGTTCCGCTGGACGGAGGTTGATTGTGTCGCTTGTTGTTGGTTGCAGCGCATCTGTCCTGGAGTGTTGACAGACTGAACAGTTCTGCATCTGCATTTAATAAGTAAGAATTTTCCTTCAGTGTTTCTTTAAAAAGTTTTTGTATTAGTGTTGATTGAATTATTTTGTGTCTGTTCGTCTTAGTTAGTTAGTTTTATTCCCATATATTAAAAAGAGCTGAAAGGTTGATTAATTAGTTAAGAAAAGAATTTGGTTTATTAACAATTTATTTGCTGTTTTCTTAGTTCTTTATAAAAGTAAAGTGAAGGAGGATATTAATATTTTTTTGTCACTGTGGGAATAAAAATATCAGCTTAAATTTGTGAATTTAAACATTTTGAGGGACATCTTTTATTATCTGGACAGTATAAGACTACACCGTTTATTGGTAATGCATGTGATTCGGTGCTCATAACTGGCCGATTAAATGCTTATAGAGAGCATCTGTAAGAGTGATGCTCCTGGTTCGTATGCTTAATATGGACAGGCAGAGTTGAGTTGATTGGTAGTTGTGGGGGAGTTTGTTGGTTTGGGTTGTGATGTCGGTGGGGTGTGGGGGGGGGGGGTGTGGGGGGGTAAAAGCAGGAACAAACCGGCCCTTGTTCTCTCTGTCCCAGCAGCGGGAGCAGCAGGATAAAGCTGCAGAAATGGGACACCGCTTCCCAGGGAGGGCAGGTAGGCCGCCGCGTTGATCACTCAGGCTGATGGAGCTGCTCCGGGCGGCACAACACACAGCCGAGATCACCGGAAAATAAATGTGCACCGCACACACAACACCACAACACACAGCCGAGATCACACACAACGCCAGGACGTAGTACACGTGAAATAAAGAATGCAGAAAATACCAGGAACATTAAATATTGCGGTATTTAAGTAGTGAGCTTTTCTGTCCATTCTCGCCCCCAAAATCCTTTGTGCAGCTTGTATTTGAGCACGAGGGTCAAAGTTCACGGTGCCATGTTATAAGGGTCTGTCCCAAAAGTGCGTGCAGCAGTACTTTGTAATAGCGGCTGCAGTAAGTATTAAAAGTAAAAACTCTGAAGCGTTGAGGAGATCTATTGGCAGAGACGGAATATCGTTTTAATACTTACTCAAGTTGGGTTTGGGCAACACGAATACTTAGTAGTGTTCTGTAGTTCTACGCGTTTCTACCGACGTTACTGAAGCACGGAAGCCACGTGATAATTAAAGTTACGTTAAATTCTTGTTTCACGTTCGAGAAGAACAGCAGGTGAAAGATCGTTGTGCTTTATTTGTCTTTGTGTTTCCTCGTTCATGATCAAGTGGAGAAAACGTTCTAATAATAATAATACTGTGGGGACCCTGCAGGTTACGTATTGTTATATTCTTGTAGGTTTTTGCAAGTATGACTGGAAAAAGTATCAACCATGTGGTAAAGATCAGTTGAATCGACACAACCAAACAAAAATAAATGCGAATTGTCTTTGATTACGAACATGTATTCTTGCACAAAAGAAACCTCCCCTGAGATCAGGCGCCGACGGAACCTGGATGACTCGCCAAGATATGAGCTGAAAACCCCACATTGTTCCCTGCTGATGAGACGTCAGCGTGCAAAGCGTAGGGGACATTTGTTACCTCTGAAGACGGACATGTGAGGGGGTCCCAGTAGGAATATTCAGTGGCCCGGTCCGTTGTCTCGCTCTCCCCACCATCAGAGCCCCCGTCAGCCTGAATGTGGTCGCTCCCTTTGTTCCCTTTGGCTCGGAGAGGCGTGAGAATCCGGTCCGAAACTGTCAAGTTAGCAAACCGACGAATCAATAAGTGGCCCCAGTCGTGGGTTCAGAGGGAGGGGCTACACTCTCTCAGAGGGAGGAGCTACCCTCGTTCAGAGGGAGGAGCTACACTCTCTCAGAGGGAGGAGCTACACTCTTTCAGAGGGAGGGGCTATACTCGTTCAGAGGGAGGAGCTTCCCTTGAGTCTACCAGCTCAGTGTCAATATCTCCTATTGCTGATCAGTGATTAATGATTGATATCCTCTCTGGTATCCCCCTCCCCCTCCCCCACCCTCCATCATTGCCATCTGCTTCACCCCTGCTGTCTGGGGACGAAAGCCTCAGTAGGAGACCTCAGGTATCCGGAGGGGCTCAAAGTGCAGAAACAACGTCTCCCGAAGGCCCTCGAATGCCAACTTTTTATTTGACCAAAGCTGCAGTTCCACTTTGTGGAAATAATCGAGAGTCATTCATTTTTTAAATTTTGAGAGAACTTCCAAACCTTTTTGGGTTTGGGTGAATTAATTAAACATAAACGTAGTTTTGGTTCTCTGATACTCATGGCTCTCATTGACCATTATCAAAAAGATCAGATATCTTAGGAAGCTGTGTATCGTCGATGGGATCAGATTATAATTTCATGACTGGTTGTGACACAAAATACCTGATTCTGTTTCTCCCCTTTGAAGGACCTCCAGACAGAAGCTGTTGCTTTAGAAACCAACACGTCTCCTTCCAGTCATTCTTCAGTTAGCCAGACCGTCGCGTCCAACCTGACGTCCTCCAGCTCGCAGAGGACAGCCCCCTCCTCATGGACTGTCAGCTCCGACCAATCAGCTGCAACACCGCCACCATCTAGTCAAACAGGATCCAGAACCGTGTCAACCAGAACTGTGTCAACCAGCCAATCACCAGGCAGCACAACACAGAACAGCCAATCACCAGGCGGCACTACACAAACAAGCCAAACACCAACCAGCCAATCACCAGGCAGCACTACACAAACCAGCCAATCACCAGGCAGCACTACACAAACCAGCCAATCACCAGGCAGCACAACACAAACCAGCGAAACACCAGGCGGCACAACACAAACCAGCCTAACACCAACCAGCCAATCACCAGGCAGCACTACACAAACCAGCCAATCACCAGGCAGTACATCATCAACCAGCCAATCACCAGGCAGCACAACACCAACCAGCCAATTGCCAGGCAGCACTACACAAACCAGCCAATCACCAGGCAGTACATCACCAACCAGCCAATCACCAGGCAGCACAACACCAACCAGCCAATTGCCAGGCAGCACTACACAAACCAGCCAATCACCAGGCAGCACAACACAAACCAGCCAATCACCAGGCAGCACAACACAGACCAGCCAATCACCAACAGAGAAGGCAGCCGACAAAGAAGGCAGCCAATTACAGACTGAGATCCCACCACCTAGCCAATCACAGAAGAAGAAGATAGCGCCGATCCACTCCCCAATCAGCTCACCAGAATCCAGCCAATCACCAACCAACACAGTGTCAGCAAGCCACGTACCAGCAACAAACCCAAAACCTACCCAATCATCATCTCGCCAGACACCATTAAACCGATCAACACTCACCTCAACATCCAACCAATCAGCAACCAGTTTAACACCAGCTAATCAATCCACAACCAACTTGGAAACAAACCACCACAACTCATCTGGCTTCACATCCCAATCACTGTCAACGCCCTCCAACCAATCACAGACCAGCTCAGTGCCGTCCAACCAATCATCCTTGGGTTCAGCGGTCAGCGGAGACGGACGTCTGGTTAACGGTTCACTGCTCGCCGGGCAGGCAAAGGAAGCCCCGAGGTCATCGATTCGTAGGACCCAAGGTATGTTCTCAAAGGTCCAGATGGAGGACTCTGTCCCAGCTCAAAGCTGTCATGTGACTGGTTTTGTGAAACAATTAGATAATGTCGGTGAGAATTGGGGCATTTTGTTTATTGTATTCAACTCAGCCCAGTTCAGAGTCCCAGTCCATTAAGAGTCTGCAATTGGGGGACGCCGGTGAGAGTTTGATGCACGGATAGACCGGACTTCCATGGCTTTTGATTAGTTAACCTCTTTTCTTAGCATACATAAACTATGAGAGTCATATTGATCCCTCATCTCCCGCATTTGGGAGAATAAGCTGCACTAAACATGAGTCCTCTGTCCTGGAAACACATCAGCTATTCCATCTGTTTTGTGTTGTTTTCTGCGTGAAGCATTGCAGGGCGACACCACTTTGAGTCAAACAGGCGAGCACCGGTTTGACTTGAGAGAAATAGCTTTGATCTGATCACCCCACCCCCCCCTTCATGGAATGGTCCTTGGGCAGCAGATGCTGCTGCTGCAGGTTGGTGCGTTGGACCAGGGGGGGCTGACAGATGGCGATTTGTTTTTTACCTAAAATCCTGACCTGCAGCAGAGTTATTGGTGCGTTTCAGTGATTCTCGGTGCGGACGCATCTAGTTAGTTTTGCTGCGGTTGATGTGATGAAAGAAACCTCTGTTCCCCCATTTTAAACGTCAAAAAACCAAACAATTAGAAAGCAGAAATCCTGTTTAATGAATGTTTTTCTGTTTCTATATGTATTTTTTAACGAAATGAATGTCGCTGAGGAGAAATGGCTCCTCCTTCTCTGTCCTGAGGCTGTCGGTGTGTTTCAGAGACGTGTTGGTCCTCCTGCCTGAACGGAGGACGCTGCGTCCATCCGGAGTCATGTGACTGCAGCTTGTACCAGGCCACTGGGCACCGGTGTCAGACAGGTACGCACCACACGCCTGCTGCTCACATGTTCCCCAACAATCAGCCCTTCTGAGAATGGAAGGGTCCACAACACGGTGATCAGCCGGTTTAAATCTATAAAGTCGCTTAAAGTCGTTGATTTCTATTTTTCATGCTGATCAACAGCTTCTGGTTTTTAAAGCACCTGAGGAACGTTTATTGTTGTCAGCTTTTGTTCCTTTGTAGATTCAGATTATTAGTACAATATATATTTAATATAAATAGTACATTATGGTGTATTATTGAAGATAAAATCCACCAAGCGGAATCTCAAGTCATTCAAATCAGCTCCACTTTTACCGACGTTACTTTCGGTAATGTTTCCTGCAAATGCTTCTACAAAAGCTCCCAGCAGGGTGAGACGTCTTTGAGTGACAGGTCTACCTGCGTGTGACCCGGTCACTGATCTCTGCTCTGATTGGTTGTTGTCTAATCTTGCACAGTGACGTGTCTTTTTTTATCCTCTCAGGATACTGAGACAGAATTGAGCGAAATGTCTGCATTAGCATTTAGAGATTTTTAGCCTATTAGCTTATTCTGTCTGCAGATGAAGCATTAAGACAGAAACAGTCCGACACGAGAGTTGAAGGTGTTCCTTCTCCCTTGGCAGTGAATAACCATCTCTTCAGACTCGGCCTTCCTTAATGTCTCCTTGTTTTCCCGAATGTTTCCGGCGCAGTTCCGAACCCCGGCTTGGAGCGGGAGATGACCTGCCGGTCGTGGGGTCAGTACAACTTCGAGACCTTCGACGGCCTCTACTTCCACTTCCCCGGCCGGTGCACGTACACCCTGCTGAGGGACTGTGAGGAGACCCCCCAGGCCAGCATCGTCATCCGGGTCAGTAACCCCCCCCCCCGCCTGCCTCCTGGAAGCTGCCCAGACGGTTCTGGTCGGGCGCCGCCGCTTCCAGTCTGAAACACACTCTCGCTTTCTGACTCCCGTGACGTTCCAGGTCTCAACCCCCCCTCACTCCCCTTCCCTGAGCTAAAAAGATTTGCTGGGAAGATTAGTGAAAGCTATCTGGTTATTAGAGTCAATTACCATTAAATACCGCAATTACCCACGATGCCTTGAGAGCATCTGCAACAGACCGGGACTTTGTTCGCCCCCCCCCCCCCCCCCCCCCCCCCCCGGGTGAACAGGCAGCAGATACTGTATCTGTGGGGAAAAGCAAACCGAAGGGATCCAAACGCATTGTGATTGTTCGTATGTTTCATAAACTAACAGACGGTTTAAGTCTCATAGTTTTAAAGACGATTACACATTATTTGCTGTGCAGGTCCACAATGACCCCGGCTGCGGCTCCGCCCCCTACACCTGCCGCCGATCCGTCAGCCTCTTCCTCCCGTGGGACGGGGAGGTCCGGCTGCACGCCACCGACGTGACCTTCAAGGGGCAAAGGTCAGCAGCGCACACGGAACGTCTTTATTTCAGTTTGTCGAGCATCACACCACAGAGGTCCGTGTCGCGGTGCGTTCACTGTCCCCCCCCCCTCTCGCTCCTCTGCAGTCTGCAGCTGCCTCATCACGTCCACGACCTGCAGCTGGAGCGCATCTCCCAGTACGTGCTGGTGACGCGGCAGCGCGGCTTCACGCTGGCCTGGGAGGGGGGCAGCGGCTCCGTCTACCTCAAGCTCAGCCCCGAGCTGGTGGGCAGGGCCTGCGGCCTGTGCGGCAACTTCAACGCCGACGTGCAGGACGACCTGAGGACCAGTTACGGTACGCCGCGCCTCCGCCGGGGCGGGCTCCAAAAAAAACCCGGGACCCCGTAGCCAGATCCGTTTAAAAGCTCGTGTCTTCTCAGGCGTGCTGACCCACGACGTAGAGATGTTCGGGAACAGCTGGGCGGAGGCCGAGCCCCACGGGGCCCGGTGTCCCGCGGTGCCCTCCGGCTTCTCCTCGCCCTGCGCCGCGGCCGAAGCTCACGTCCTGCTGGTAAAGTTTCCGATTGTGTTTTGCGGAGGGAGGACGTGCGCGGTGGTGTTTGTCCTCAGACGTTGCCTCTCGTGTGTTGGTGGCTGCAGAAGGTGGAGGAGGTCTGCGCCGTGATGCTGGAGCCGCCGTTCCAGAGCTGCCACGAGTTCGTCAGCCCGCTGTCCTTCATGGCCGGCTGCTCCAACGACCTCTGCATGTAAGGACGACCTTCCTTTAGCAACCACGGGGACCTCGGGTGACACCTCGGGGTGTCATTACAACCACAGAGGTTAATCCAGTTTGGGTGGGGAATTTCCACGCAGATTTGTGAGGGAATTGAGCCATTTTGTTTCTTGAGGTAAGGGTGCTGATTTAGATGGAGAGGATTCATCCTCAGTGGAGACATGAGACATGTCCTGCAGGTCAGAGGACAATGATAGACTATAAACAAGATGTAGACGTGGTCTTGGTGACGTCCCCCAGTGGTTTGTGGACTGATGAAGCCTCTAGTTTGCCATGTTGTTGTTTTTTGGAAGTGACCATATGTGTAGAGTGGAGGACTATGCGTCCCTGTCAATCACATTAAGCCCCGCCCTAAAGCATCCCCTTCTTTATGGCCTGTTTGACTCTAAATGGACCGTAATTCGCTAAATGAACATCATGTTGTGTTGAAGGAGACTAGAAACTAGAGACGAGACCATAAACTCATGTTTACAATGTTTACTGAGGGAACAAATGACGTGCTGCTGCGACCAAAGCCTTTTCATCTTCTCCTCGTCCAAATATGGTAACTTCCTGTTGACAACACGGCGATGCCCTTCCACAAACCAGCGGATGACGTCACCATGACGACGTCCACATCTTTCATACAGCCTGTTGTTTCATTAACGTTCTTTGGTGCCTCATTTAACACTAATAACAATCTGCTTTTGTTGAATCTTGAGTTCCAGCTGCGGTGATTCTTTGTCTTATTTTTGTCATAAGTCGACCAGAGGGGGCGGCCGGCGCTCCCCGTCGCCCGCGGTTACAGGCGATCCGGCGCTCTGCTTTCTCAGCGCTGTGTTTCGATGGCTCGGGTCCATGATCCCGAACGCGCCCTCTCTCTGTTGGTAACTTTAGCCCCGGCAGTCTGTTTAAAGTGAACTCAGAGTGCGCTGGAACCGACACCGGTGATAAAGACACAAATGCACCCTCTTAAGACGACTTGTTGGAGCCACACCACCACACACGGGTTTTCTTCCAGCCTTAGCGAGCCCGGCCTGAAGATTTACTCATGACTCAGCGGCTGGGTGGTTATTTGTTCGGTGGGTCCGGCACATACCTGGTCCAACTGGCCCACCTGGTCCACCTGGTCCACCTGGCCACACCTGGCCCACCTGGTCCATCTGGCCACACCTGGTCCACCTGGTCCACCTGGCCACACCTGGTCCATCTGGTCCATCTGGCCATACCTGGTCCACCTGGTCCACCTGGCCACACCTGGCCCACCTGGTCCATCTGGCCCACCTGGTCCACCTGGCCACACCTGGCCCACCTGGTCCATCTGGCCATACCTGGCCCACCTGGTCCACCTGGCCCACCTGGCCCACCTGGCCACACCTGGCCCACCTGGCCACACCTTTCCTCCTGGCTCCGCTCAAAGAGTCTTTTCTGTGTCAAAGGTCGGGGCCCGAAGGCGACGTGGTGTGCCAGGTGCTCAGCGAGTACGCACGGGCCTGTGCCCACGCCGACCACCCGCTGCACGGCTGGAGGCAGCACTTTCCTCAGTGTGGTACGTTTCTCACGGCAAACAGTCCGTTTTTCATCACGTTTGAAGCCTCAATGCAATCGGCGGAAGTAAAAAGCTAACGTTTGGTTTGAGAAAAAAAATGACATCAATTATTTTCGGAACGCTAAAAATGTCTTAAGCTTTGGTCAGCCAAGATTTTTTGGGGAATTTTAACCCCAAACCCCAAAAACAAAGCATTACTTTGAGAGGAGAGATTCTGAAATGCAAACATGTCGACTCATTTCCAGAATTTAGGACTAATTTCTCTTATATTCAAACAGGTTAACTAGAAGGCACGGGACATACAATTAAATAGCACTAAATCTTATATTTTTAGCTTCAATGTAGGAATTGTCAATATATTCACATTTCCTACTTAAATAATTCCTAAAAATCAGATAAGTGGCCAAACGAACGTTAGCTAAAGAAGCGCTCGCTAACTGCGGCTACGGTCAACCTCAAAATGTTACCACATGACTTTGTGCCAAGAAACACATTTCTATTATTTTATAAATCTCTCCTCTCTTGCGTTCGCTAAATTTGGCTAAAATGAACAACAAATGTATATGTGGAACCATAAAGTAACACTTTGGACATTGGCTGAACTGTCAATCAGTTAAACCGCAGCTAAGCGAGACATCATTTCACTTGTCTTCCCTCGTGTCAGAGAGGTGCAGGTGGAGTCCGAGAGGCCGCAGAGGTAAATGTGTGTTTTGTTCACCTTCTTTGGGAGCAGCCAGGTCGTGCCCGGCGGGTCTGCAGCACAGGGAGTGTATCAGCTGCTGCCCGGCCTCCTGCAACCTGGAGCGGACCTGCATCGACAGCCGGCTGGCCTGCCTGGACGGATGCTACTGCCCCGACGGTGCGCATCTATTCTGGTTCTGTTACCCCCCGTGGCGTACAGCTGGCAAACCTTTCCTGTCCTCCACAAATTGGGGCGGCCGTCACCTCTTCTTTGGGAACCTCGGATTGACGTCGGGTCTCTTGTTGAGCGGACAGAGCTGAGCGACTCCCGCCTCTCTCCTCAGGTCTGATTTACGAGGACGGAGGCTGTGTGGAGGCCTCCGACTGTCCCTGCGAGTTCCACGGCCTCTTTTACCACTCCGGACACACGCTGCAGGAGGAATGCAGCAACTGGTGAGTGCTGAGGGGTCAGATCCTGAATCGATGCTCCCACCTCCGATGCTTCCATTGTCACAAGGAGAAATGGATATTTGATCTGCTAGTTCAAACGTTGCTCTTTTATCCCAATAAAATGGGTCAAATTTGGATGCAAAACGAACCCTGGGCGAACAAATGTTCACCCGGCTTCCTTCCGCGATCTCAGCTCCGTGTTTCTCGGATGTCCTCCACCTGTGGACGTGTCTGCTTTCTGTTTCAGCACATGCGTGGGCGGAGTGTGGAACTGCACCGAGCACAGCTGCCCCGGTTAGTCGCCCTCGTCCTTTTCCTCAAGCTCCTGAACAGTGGACGGGTCCTTCTTTGGGAAGTCGTAGGGAAATACCTGGTCCAAGAAGCAAAATGTCTCTCTATGTGTTGCATGTAACTAGTTCCTGTTTGGTGAAAAGGAAGGAGGCGGTTTCAGATTAAAGAAGGGTTCATCTTAGTTAGGAGATAAGGATGAAGGCAAGCAAGGAAGCAAGGAAGGACAAGGGAGCATTAAAGCAGTTTAAGCAAAGGTTCTCTCTCCACCCCCCCGACCCCCCCGACCCTCCCCAGGCGAGTGCTCGGTGACGGGCGACATGTACTTTCAATCCTTTGACGGGCGGCTCTACACCTTTGCCGCCACGTGTCAGTACGTCCTCGCCAAGAGCCGCAACTCGGGGAAGTTCACGGTCACCATCCAGAACGCCCCCTGTGGAGCCGTGAGTGACCTTCGACCTCCTCCCTTTTTGCCTTTTCTCTTCTCTGCTCTGCTGCCTCGGCTTACGGCTTCGTGCAATTTGTCCGCCGTGTAGATCAAATCATATATTTAAGTGCTCAATCCAACTGGGAGAGATAAGGAGCACAACAAAACCTCCTTCTCTCTCCAAACCTTTGATTTCCCAGCAGCCTTTGAGCTGCTCGGGGGGGGTTGCGAGATATAAGATGTCCCGCTCATCATCTGACGGCCAAGTGAACAGGATTACCTTATCTGGCCCGACTGACAGAAGCTGTGGACGGCTTTGTAAAGGGTGAGCGGGGGCTGGGTGGTGTCCTCGCAGGAGTGAGTGTATCTGACAGAGTGATGATGGAGATGTGAAGAGAGAGGGGGGGGCGCTAAAACGTTTGGGCTACGCCGCTCCGTCACTTATGAAAGAGGCGATTCATAGCGGCGGGTCGCTCGCTGTCAGCGGCTTTCATTACTTTAAGAACATCTGAAGCTCGCGTTCGCTGTCAGTCGTCGACCTTCTCGCCTTGATTGAGGTGGAAGAGGTTAGTCGGGGATATTTTATTATGCAGGATCGTAAACAACCAGCATCGTTGTTGTTATTACTTCTCCCACAAATCACTGGGCTTTTAATGAGGAATCAAGTTTTACAATCCTGACATATTTTCAGTTTAACAAGCTAAGCCGGCCGCTGAATTTACAGCACGTTAAGGACGTTTCAAACGCAGCCAGTAGTTGTGATATAAAGTACGTCGGAGTAGCGCAGACGTCGATAGTAGTAGTGCAACAGAAAGTGGTGTTTGTTGTCATTTGAGACGACAACACGCCACAGCGTCAGGAAGAGAGACGGATAGCTGGCTAATTAGCTTGTTAGCTAGTTAGCTAAATTGGATGTAGAAGATGGAAACATTTCCTGGTTCTGATGGCACCTCGGCTCTATAAACAAAACTTTGGACCCAGCACGGCTGTTAGCCTGCTAGCTAGCTAGCTAGCTTGTATCGTCAGTCCACGACCTGTAAGTCGGTTTAGTTCATTCAGCAGTTGGTGACGGTAAAAAAAAATGGCCGCCTCTCAAACCATCCTCCTGCCGCCTGATTTATTTCTATGGTTGTTTTGCACATTTTAGACTTGAGGGGCCGCTAATGAGGTCTCGTACTATTCAGCGGCCTGAACACAGAACTTTTCTACCAACGCTTTTAGGGTTTCAGAGTAAAATCTTTTTACCTACTTTCCTATTCTCTCTCTCTCTCTCTCTCCCGGCCCATTACCTCCCCCTCACTGTGAGTCCTCTTGTCCACCACCCTCCATCGAGCCGTCTCCTCTCATTTGCAGAACTTGGACGGTTCCTGCATCCAATCGGTCAACCTGGTCATTGACGAGGATCCGAGAACGGAGGTTACGTTGAGTCACTTGGGCGAGGTCTTCCTGGCCGGACAGTACCGGGTCTCCCTGCCGTACTCTGACGGTATGGCCTCCTCTCCCCGTCGTTGCCCTGTCATTGCATCGCTCCATCACTGTTTTGTTGTGACGAACGCTGTTCCCTCTGCAGACCTCTTCCACATCCAGGAGCTGTCGTCCATGTTCCTGCAGGTGAGGACGGCCTTCGGCCTGCGTCTGCAGTACGGCTGGGCCCAGTTCCGCGTCTACCTGCAGGCCGACGCGCCGTGGAAGGACGACACCGCGGGGCTGTGCGGCACCTTCAACGGCAACATTCAGGACGACTTTCTGTGAGTGTGGGCGACCTCTGACCTCTCCCCTAACCCCTCCACCCCCCCCCCATTGCCCCTCTCACCTCCAACGATAAAGTAGAGAGAGATTCTGTTTCAAAAGAGAGGGAGGTGACGGTGAAGTGCCCTCCCTCCCTCCCTCTGTAATGCACACGGGCTCGGCGGCGGCTGGCATCAAAAGCCTTCGCTCTCTGAGCAGCTCTTTTGGGCCAGGTGAGCGCCCAACTGGACTCGCCACTTCAACAAGGAGGGAAGTGTTGGTGGAATAGGGGCTCCACTGTACGAAGGGCGGATGTGGTCCTAACAGCTGTAAATGGATCTCCATCTCAGTCGCTGACCGACGGGGGTCGCTCACTTTGGCAAAAGATCTCCAGAGCGGTTAAATGATGACTCGTAGTAGTTGAGTCATGTGGGGTGCCAGTTATTTTAGACGCATTTAGAAGCTGAAACAACGTGTGCACGTACATCTAAACGGTCGCTGAGCTCCGGGTCTCTGCAGGTCTCCGTCCGGGATGATAGAAAGCACTCCTCAGCTCTTTGGGAACGCCTGGAGGGTCTCGTCGGCGTGCTCCAGCAGCCTCAGTCCTCCCCAGCTGGACCCGTGTGACGCTCACCAGCAGGCCGGTCGGTCCCGCTTCCGCCCGCCGCGCGTTCCACGTTCGACATTTCCCGCGTTGTTCATGAACTATTACACGAAATCTGAAAATGTGCATTTACCGTGGATTTGTCCGCCCCAGCGGCCTACGCCTGGGAGATGTGCGACGTGCTGAACCAGGACCTGTTCTCCGCCTGCCACCAGCACCTCAGCCCGGCGACCTTCCACCAGCAGTGCCGCTCGGACACGTGCCGGTGCGGGACGCCCTGCCTGTGCTCGGCGCTGGCCCACTACGCGCGCCACTGCCGCCGCTTCTCCGTCGTGGTGGACTTCCGGTCGCAGATACCCGACTGCGGTGAGTAACGGTTCACTTGGGATGAAGTTTGATTGACAGGTGGTTCAGCCGATCACCTGGTTATATTATGACCTGGCGGTGGGAAGCAGGTATTAAAAAGAGCCTCATAGGGAACATCCGGGTGTCCATTAATGAACACGTCCTCTATGTTGTGAACTCAAACCGCTCTGACGTGGAATCGAACCGTCTCCCCCCCCCCAGCGGTCACCTGTCCCGCCACCATGCAGTACGGCACCTGCGTGTCGTCCTGCCAGCGGCGTTGCTCCGCCCTCTCCGTCCCGCCTCGCTGCGGGGGGGAGTGCGAAGAGGGCTGCGTCTGCCCGCCGGAGTCCTTCTACAACCACCGGACGCACACCTGCGTGCACAGGTGAGGGGGGACGGGGGGGGGCGGGGGACGGGGGAGAAATCCCTTTTTTAATTCTGCAACACAAGCAGAGAGACGCCGTCGTGTTTCTTGGACCTGAATGCCGAGCGTCACTAAAAATCCTCCTCTCAGCGATATTTGTCTGCTGTGTGTCGGATGCTTTCGGCCGACATTCGTTCCTCTTAAATGTCCCGGCTTTCTTTTGAGTGTGTGTGTGTTTTAACATCCTTGTGCCTCACTTACTACGCGATAGAGTTACGCCGGAGGAATTCACCGTGAAAACCCCCCTTTCATTCCCGCGGCTCGGGGGCCCGGGGACGCCACAGATATCTGATGACCGGCACAGAGGCCGATGTGTGGCGCTGGCCGGCACGCTAACGCAGGCACCCGCTGATGGCTCTAGAAATGATCATCCAGGCGCTTTGTGTTTCTGCTGCAGACACAGTGGAACGGAAGCAGAAGCTCGCCAGCGTGCGTTAACGCTGCGGTTACAGAGACCCTGAGCGGCCTGTGAGGAGCATCATGTTGCACTCGCTCCGGGTCCAGCAGCATTACATCGTCTCCTGTGCTTTGTTTACTGGTGCTTATTATTATTTACAGTTGTCATCTCCTTCAGGAGCGAGTGTCCCTGCAGTTTCCTCGGAGCGGATTACGAACCAGGAGATGTGATCATGACGTCAGCAGGTGTTCAGTAAGCTCCGCCCCCCCCGTCTCTGTCCACCTATACGCGTGAAAAGCACCATTCTCGCCGTAGCTTCAGGGTCAGGACGATGAGACAAACACTCGGACGATCAGATGAGGCCTTCACACACCAATGATCCACTTTATTCTGCGTCCAAACAATTCTAATTCAAAATGTCCACAGTTCGATGTTTCCGATGGGAGGTTTGCTGTCGTGTTCCCTGCATTAAGCTTCATCGCTCTGTGTGTCCTCACAGACTCTGTCTGGACGGCAAACTGGTGTCGCAGACGTCAGACAGCGGTGAGTCGCTTCAACCAAACGTCACGTCACTCATGATCCTCCATCTGTGTCGCCGGATTGATCTTCTTAATAGTCTAAAATGAGACTTGGTGTTAATATGTTGAAGCCTTTCTTCTTCTCGTCCTCCCACAGACATGTTGTGTCCCCCCGGTCAGCGGTACCAGAACTGCTCGGAGGGGGCCGACGGCGTCCTGTTGTCGAGGGGCGTGGCCTGCGAGCGCACCTGCGAATCCTCCCTGCTGAACCTCACCTGCTCGTCGCACGAGCCCTGCGTGGCCGGATGCACCTGCCCCCCCGGGTGAGGATCTTCACTCTGCTCTGTTGTCATTGGAGGTTGTGCGTTGTTGAAAGTGGACTTAGTTTTCTTGCGGTGCTGTTGAGGACGTTTGAGGAGTCTTTGATGCTCGGTGGGAGACGGACGTCCTCCCAACCGGCCGATGAGCTGCACAGACATCCCGAGTCGATGACCGTCATCTGATCCCCGTAATCCCTTCTGAATGGAGGGTCAAGCGGTTTCACTCTGTGACTTAAAGCGAGCGTCGTCCTCGTGACAATATCAACAAGGCGCATCGCGGCTTATGACGCATCTGTGCGGATTGCGATCGTTGAACCGGAGGAAATGTGAGACTCTCGTCTGTGATTCACTTCTGGTGAAGCGGGACGACCTTTGCTGGGGACGAGACCACGTCGGTTTGCAGCCTGGAACCCGAGAGCTTGTGAGCTCATTCTGTGCTAAACACGGAGACAAAGAGAAGTCATTCAGCGGGCTGATGACGGCTGTATTGATACGAGCAGCGACGGGTCATCGCTCCAAAGGTTCTCATGTCTGAAACGGGGGATAACGAGGGCTCAGATCAGCGCCGATGTTTCAAGTCAGTCGATAGTTGTCTCGGCTCCATTGTGTGAAATAGCCGTTAATATCCGGCGATCGAACAAAGCGGGAGTTTGGTCTCTTTTCGGGGCGGAGCTTACGTGACAATGACGTTATCACGACACGGAGCAGAAGCAGGACGTGTGAGCTCCCCCTGCTGTGTGGTCTGTTAGAGACCTGTCAATCAGCGTGTAGCCCCGCCCTAAAGCACCTCCTGCTGTGTGGTCTGTTAGAGACCTGTCAATCAGCGTGTAGCCCTGCCCTAAATCACCCCCTGCTGTATGGTCTGTTAGAGACCTGTCAATCAGCGTGTAGCCCCGCCCTAAATTACCTCCTGATGTGTGGTCTGTTAGAGACCCGTCAATCAGCGTGTAGCCCCGCCCTAAAGCACTCCCTGCTGTGTGGTCTGTTAGAGACCTGTCAATCAACGTGTAGCCCCGCCCTAAAGCACCCTCTGCTTTGTGGTCTGTTAGACACCTGTCAATCAGCCTGTAGCCCCGCCCCAGTGGCGGCAGGTCTATAGAGGGCAATGGGGCGTGGCCCACCTTGAGCCAAAAAAAAAAAATTATATTAAAAATACATTTTACAAATAGTCAATCTGTTTCTATTTGTGTTGTTGAAACATGGAATATACCCAGTATTATATGTAAATTAAGATATCTGCGCAAAATATATGCTTCTCCTGCGCGTTAGAGACCTGTCAATCAAAGTGTAGCCCCGCCCTGAAGTCTGTTTGACTCTAAATCAGGGGTCTCAAACTCAAATCAGCTGCGGGCCAGATGCAGCCCACTTCAACCGAACGCGGGCCGGACTAGCGTCCGAACTAGCGTCCGAACGGCATGGTCGACAATAACACAACTTAACACTCACTTTCAAAAGCAGTCATTGAACCCCACCCTGGGGGATCGGTCCCAATGAGACTACAACACTAGTCCTCCTTTAACTCAGCGGGGGAGACCTAAGGTCATGTGACCGTGGAATTCCTTTATAGCCAAACGTGAAGTTACGTGAATCGAAGCTGCGTAGTAATGGACGGAGACGCTCGTCGGTGACGTCAGATGCTTCTTGTGTTGTTAGTGTGAGTCGTAAAGGAAAACTTTATTAAACGAGCGATGCTAACGGTTAGTCACATGATCACCTGCGCGAAAGAGGGCAGGAAACTGAATTTCACCCTCCTGCTCTCTGCACCTCGGCCGACACACACGACCCGCCCCCCATGTCAGTCACATGCATGCCACGTTCACTGGACAAGCACACAGTAGGAAACCAGAACATCATAACATGTCCCACACAGCAGCTGACAGTGGGGTTACAGTATAAAACTTGCGGGCCGCACTAACATTACACTTTCATATTAAGGATGGAGCCACAAAATATCGTCCCGAGGGCCGCAATTGGCCCGCGGGCCGCGAGTTTGAGACCCCTGCTCTAAATGGACAGTCGGTTACTAAAGGAACGCCGTGCTGTGTTGGAGAAGAGCAGAAGACTCACCCTGAAAGTGTTTTATTAGAAGTATGTGACGGCTCCTATGGGTTTGATTTGAAGAAGTGACCCGCCACCTTTTTACAATCCTCTGCTGGGATTAAATCCCGGGTTGATGGGGATGTATCGCGATGCGCCGCTGCCTCTGTGGGACCTTTGATCGGAGTAATCGATACGGCGGTTTGGCGGCCGCACAAAGGACGCTGTTAACGCGGTTTCATCGGAGCCCGAGGTCTGTGGCTCTCGACCCGGGATACTACAAGATACTTATCAGCCCCCGTCCCGGGCAACAAAGGGCGTCTCTCCCTCTATCTCTGAGAATCCTAATCGTCTGGTGTTCTCATGTAGCTAACGGTGTGTCTGCTGCGGCTCGGCCTCTGAGGACGCTTCCCTCGTTGGGTCGCCGAAACACAAGAAACGATGATCACAACCGGCCCGCGCCGCTTCATTGATGATGTCGCTCATCGGCCCAATCAGCTGATCACAAAGACGTGGGATCATCGGGGCGGATAGAATGGAGGATGATGCCTGATGATAACCCTGCTGGAATGAATGCCGTCCCAATGTATTATTTATTACTGCGTTATATGTTTATCAGGACTGAGTGGACCCCGAGTGCAGAAGGACTCTCTTATTGTTGATCCAGTTAGGAGTGTGTTAGTAGATGAATAAACGTCATATACTTTTGGGCATCTGGGTAAATGTTATAAGTTAAGAAGGTGAAGCCAAACTGAAGGAATCTCATGGATGTCTAAGAAGAAATAATTCAACTCAATCCACCAAATCCCAGCTCCTTTTTCTAGATGAAGCAGCTCTTCATTTGTGTGTGTGTGTGTGTGTGTGTGTCTGCAGCCTGCTGAAACATGGAGACGAGTGCTTCGAAGCTGCTTCCTGTCCGTGTCTGTGGAAAGGAAAGGAGTATTACCCCGGCGACCGAGTCTCCTCCCCCTGCCATCAGTGGTACGACCAGCATTTACCACAAGTACTCTTTAGTTCATTAAAACACAGAATATTTCCTTCCTTCATTGGTGCAGAAAGCTTTTCTATAGATAAATGAACATGAGCCTGCAGGACGGATCCCGGATGTATGAAGGGCTTCAGGTTCAGAGTCCAATGGAAGAAGGATGAAATCTCTGCAATGATTCAGATCAAGGGTCCATGCTGGGAAGAGAAAAAGACCCTCTTAGTTACAAAAGTCTCTTTCCCGATTTGAGTCTATGGGAAATCTTTTTTTTTGGGCCACATGGCGTCACATGACAAACCAGGAAGACGTCTTACTCTTCCTCTCCTTCTTCGGATGTTAACAGAAAACCGTATTTCGCTACGTGGTTTTGTTGCTAACCCTCCGCCGTTACCGCGGCAACACATTTACTCACTCGCACGCGGCCGCAAAGACCTGATCGTCGAGCCACCAGTCAAAAATATCTGTCAAGAGTTTACAAAGTATTGGGGGGTCCACGACCCCTTAATGGACCCATTTTGCCCCCCCCCCCAGCCTTTATTACCCCTGAGTGTTTCACACACTGTCCGTCAGAAACAGGACAAATCTCCATCAGCGATGCTAATTTTTTCTCCTGGGATTGACAGGAAGGGGCCACCCGATATCCATAATTCTCCCCGATCAACAGGGCCAGAAAGAAAGAGAAAGACAAAAAAACAGAGCGGGCCCTTGTGCGACTCTTCGCTCCGGGCCGCTGAAAGGGAGAACTCGAACCAGATGACAGACTAATGGCGGCAGAATCAGCCTGCGACTGTTCCCGACCCCCCCGACCCCCCATTAGCCTCGACAAGTCGATGCTGAATCACTGAGGCTCTGCTGTCTCTGCAGCGTCTGCCAGCACGGGACGTTCCGCTGTGCGTTCCGTGCGTGCCCGGCCATGTGCTCGGCCTACGGAGACCGCCACTACGGGACGTTCGACGGGCTGCTGTTCGACTACGTGGGCGCCTGCGAGGTCCACCTGGTGAAGGTATGTCCTCCAATGTGCGCCGTCTGTCCGGGCCCTCACACACCGTGTGCACTTAAGTAAAGTCAAACGGCATTTTTTTAGCCCTTTGCGTTCCTGCGAAGTGAAAGGGGCGTGGCCTGTCCTCCACAGAGCAGCGGCGACGTGATGCTCAGCGTGACGGCTGAGAACGTCGGCTGCTTCGACGGCGGAGTCGTCTGCAGGAAGTCCCTCGTGGTCAATGTGGGCGGATCCTCCGTGGCCTTCGACGAAGACTCGGGGGAACCCGTGAGATCAGCTTTTTAGATTGAAATGAGAAGGCGGGAAAATGTTGTCACGTTTTAAAAAGTTTTTTTCTCGCAGAATCCATCGAGCGCGATCGACAGGAAGCAGAGGATGTTCTTGTGGCCGGCCGGGTTCTTCACCGTGGTTCATTTCCCCGACGAAGACGTCACCGTCCTCTGGGACCGGAAGACCACTGTCCACATCCAGGTCGGACCCCGCTGGCAGGTAGGGGGCTCTTCAGGGACCACGTCCCAAATGTCACCCAGCATCTTGACACACACCATCTACTCAGGCTCCGCCCACCTGCCTGTTTTGGGAGATTTCTACTGGATTGCATCAAAAATGAGCAGAGCGTGAAAGTGGACTTTAACTCCAGATGGCTTTGTTAAAGCGAGTGTGAAGACGTTTGAACTGATCCTGAACCAGTCTCCATTTAGTCCCGATCCTCTATGTCAACCAGTCTCATGTTAGTCCCGATCCTCTATGTGAACCAGTCTCTGTTTAGTCCTGATCCTCCATGTCAACCAGTCTCTGTTTAGTCCTGATCCTCCATGTCAACCAGTCTCAGGTTAGTCCCGATCCTCTATGTGAACCAGTCCCAGGTTAGTCCTGATCCTCTATGTCAACCAGTCTCCATTTAGTCCTGATCCTCTATGTCAACCAGTCTCATGTTAGTCCTGATCCTCTATGTCAACCAGTCTCATGTTAGTCCTGATCCTCTATGTCAACCAGTCTCAGGTTAGTCCTGATGCTCCATGTGAACCAGTCTCAGTGTGGTCCTGATCCTCTATGTGGTGCAGGGTTAGAGCAGGTGTGCTGGGAACCGCAAGGTTGGTGGTTTGAGTCCCGGCTGCCCCATGTCGTAGTGTCCCTGGGCAAAACCCCCTGACCTCTAATTGCTCCCATTGGTTCAAAATGTAATGTAATGTAATGTAATGTAATGTAATGTAATGTAAGTCGCTTTGGATAAAAGCTCAGTTTAGTCCTGAGCTCAGACACACAATCAACACACCAGGGAAGTTCATCTTATGGACACGATTATATATGATAAATATAAATGATTATTTTAGAGATGTTTTTACTGGTAGTAAATATCACATAAACCCATTTGAGTTGGTTAAGCTTTACATATACATGTGTGTTTATATATACACGTGTGTTTATATATACATGTGTGTTTATATATACATGTGTGTTTATATATACATGTGTATGTGTGTGTGTGTGTTCAGGGGAAGCTCAGCGGGCTCTGTGGGAACTTTGACACGAAGACGGTGAACGAGATGCGGACGCCCGACAACATCGACTCTGCGACTCCGCAGGAGTTCGGGAACAGCTGGACGGCAGCAGAGGTAAGAATTCTTTAATGTGGAACGTTTCCAGCTTTAAAGTCAGTCACTTTTCCCAACATTCACTGAATATAATCTCTTTGTTTTATAAGGTTTATAAGTACATTTACTCAAGTACTATACTTAGTACTAATTCCAATAAGGACGTAAAGGAGTAAACTTCAAACACAGTACTATTAATTCATCCAACGTTCAGATTTATCTGCTGGAACGTTATGCAAATTAGCACATATTTAAAAGTATAGTGTCTCATTTGCATATGTTGTGTTGATCAAATCATCTTTTTCAGGTTGTTCATCTATTTCTAACAACATTTAAAATGCAGGACTTCTACTTAGAGTGGTATTTTTAGGCTTTGGTATTAGTACTTTTAAAAGTACACACGTATTGGGAGGCTTCCACCACTTCTTCTTTACACCCTTTACTACTCAACCTGTAGTAAGTGGTAATCAACCCAAACTGTGCATGTGTGCGTGTGTGTGCGTGTGCGTGTGTGTGTGTGTGTGTGCAGTGTGTGAGCAGTCCAGACATCAGACACCCCTGCAGCCTCAGTCCGCTCAGAGAGCCGTTTGCAAAGCGCCGTTGCGGCGTCCTGCTCAGCGAGGTGTTCCAGGCCTGCCACCCGGTGGTGAGTCCAGATAGTCACGAACAGTATAGAGAAATATATAGATATTATAGTATAATACATAAATAGAATTATCAACATTTTAAAGTATAAAATATCATACAATACGAATTAAAATATATAATCTTTTTAAGCAAAATATAATATATATATATAATTTCTAAAAATTTTAAATGTAATGTTTTCATAACTCTTATTTATTTTAATTTTAAGTTACATTTTTTAAATATACTTTTATTATTGTTTTTATGAATATGAACATCTA